TTTTTTTTTTTTTTTTTTTACAAAGAAATCATGTTCTTTTGGCCCGAAGAGTCGGAGCTCGCATGACTTGCATCGCGAACTTCCGGCCACTGCGATTTTTTCGAGATAGTTTGCCTAATCGAGCGACGTTGCTCGTGGCAACTGGCGATCGATCTCGAAGTACTCTCCCGCTCCATTCGCGAGAAGCTTCAACCGTTCAATCGCGTCATCCCGCAAAATCATTAACCCTCCATCATCCTCCAGCGCGTCTGTCGTGGCGCTCGGACGAACGAAATCGAGCGCGACGCATTTGCGGGGCCATGGACAGCAAAATTATATTTCTGGAAAATATTAGCAGTCCAAACTGATTTTGCAATATTCCTGGCAAAATAATTTGCGGTTAAATATGCTTTCCTGGAAACAGACCGAGTCGATTTGCTCAAAGGAGAGACATGCGTATCGGATGGCAATTTTGGAGTTACATTGAGAGAAAAAATGATTAGTCTAATTAAAGTCATAATTATTTTTTATTGCAAGTACATTTTTTATAGTAAAATGATAGTAGTAACATGCATAAGGTTACTATCATTAACATTATAATAGAATTTAATAAAACAATAACTTTTTGATCGTAATTTATAATAATTATTTATCTATGTGATTATATAGTTACAAATATTAAATATTTTTACCGCATTGTAAGGGTTTCTCCCTCCATCCCTAAGAAACCTAACCTAATTCAACTTATATCACTGCTACGGCCGCATAGCTATAAATATCCTCGGGAAAGGCTGAAGACTTGATGAACTACCCAGATGGACATCAGAACTAGAAGAAAAAAAATATCATTACTGTAAGTGCAATCATTATTTTTACATTATTTCAGTTAATTTCATATAATTTCAGTTGCGCGAGTAAACCTTTTAAACATGTTCATTTTACAATATATAGGACTGTTTCACCCAATTTCACGAAAATCGGAGGTTACACCTTTTCGGAGAACTGAAGCCACAATTTTTAATTTTTCAGGCGGTAGGGGTGCCTTCCACGCGCGAGATGATGTCGATTCACTGGGGCGGCTTGACGCCGATGGATTTCATTAACTCCAAGAGCCCGCGTTTCGTAGAACGTCGAACGAACGAACGAGCGAACGAACGCTGGTGGTATGCGAAGATGACAACGCGCTCGCATCCGGTATCGTCCTGCGGAAATCGTGGAATTTCTTTATTGTGCGCCACCGCATCGAGGGTTCTGGCTCTTCCTTACCGCTCCTTCCAGAAGCGCCTTTCCGCATCTTCTGCCTCCTTTGCCTCTCGCCCTCTCTCTCTCTCTCTCTCTCTCTTTCTCCTGCGCCCTTTTCGACACCCCATCTCTTTGCCCACAGCTTCTCGTACGAGACGCCGTCACCGGCAGATGCTGCTCTCAACCTGTGCTATAATTAATACGGAAGCGAACCTCCCCTGAAAATGCAGTCGTAAGGTTTATTCAATTCGCGCGAAACGTAAGCGCGATCTCCCTTCTGCGCGATGTGATGCAAGGAGGTGTGAAGGAAACGAAGAGTTTGTTGCGTCCTTCGCGTATTGAATGTTGTCGCACCGAATTGAAACTAGGTTCGCACGCACTGTCTGCGTGTCATCTTCTTCGACGGCGATCGTCCTCGTGGAGAAGAGTCGCGGGACTTTCCATCCTTTACGTTTATGTGGGAGTCCTCTCCCGACGCGCTCTCACCGGCCCTAAATAGCGCTTGGTGAAAATTAAGAAACTAGTTCTCGGGGGCGTATCGCCACGGTAACATTTATTCTCCCTGTTCCTCATTTTTATTTATAATCTGTCCGGCGTGGGGCGGTGTACTTTACGAAAAGAATTGGATGGGATCCGGAATTGACCATCGGTCTTGGGAATACTCTCGCCGTCCTCATGAAAGGCAATGAGTCCGCGCGATATCCTACGGCGAATCTACGGGTCTGTCGTTTATCTACCGCATCATTTCACACGTTTTTCCCCCTTCGCTTCCTCCACTCCTGCTCGCAGTCACCCTCGCTTCTTCTCCATCTTTCTCTGCCTTCCAAAAGAGCTTATATATCATCATTTCCATCCTAAATTTCCATATCGTAGGTTAGTGTAAAAACACGGCAATTTTAGTTCACGTTCTTGTGGCTCGTTTAATGAACCGAGTACACAACACACAATCCTATAATACAGCATAAATGTCCGAGGAACGTCTTAGAGACGTCTGAAAGACGTTCTACTTGTTTAGATGCTTTCTGGATGTCTCTAAGACGTATTTTAAGCGTTTATGTTGTTTAGGACACAACACGTTCAATACTAACGAAAGTGAAAGGTACAAAAATAAATATAGAGTGTGAAATCGGACCTTTTGTTGTCTTGATTTCCTCTTTATGTTAGAAGGAGATTTTAGTTCACGTTCTTGTGACTCATCTAATGAACCGAGTACACAACACACAATCCTATAATACAGCATAAATGTCCGAGGAACGTCTTAGAGACGTCTGAAAGATATCCTACTTGTTTAGATACTTTCTGGATGTCTCTAAGACGTATTTTAAGCGTTTATGTTGTTTAGGACACAATACTAACGAAAGTAAAAGGTATAAAAATAAATATAGAGTGTGAAATCGGACCTTTTGTTGCCTTGATTTCCTCTTTATGTTAGAAGGAGAATATACATAGCGTCGAGTTGTATTTGTCGCGTAAATATAGCTTTGTGCGTAAGGCGCGAGTTTCGCTCAGTGACAAAGAGACGGAAATCTTATTGGCCGAAAAGTAAAGAAGCCACGTTTCTGCGAGAAGTTGCTGGGCTCGCTCGTTAGTACAATAATGTTGCATCGAAGACATTCTATTGCCCTCGCTATCGACTATCACGTCTTTCCTTCTTCTCCTGCTTGCTGTTTCGCAAAGTGAGCCTCGAGAACTGTCCTTTTATTGTAACGCATGCTTAATATTTGAGAACTTATATAAAGAAGAAGGAAAGAAAGGAAAGGGGGAAGCACACATAGAACACCGTTGACCTTCTTATCTGACACATTTTTAACGTTGTATTCTTCTGATTTTCATGTCACGTTCAATGCCTACGCATTGATGCCATCGATACGTATGCTGGAGGTCTTGAAATACGGTGTCAGGGATATTCCGAGTCGGAACTTTGGCTGGTATTCACAGTCCGTTCTTAGTTGACAAATAGTCGCAACTTTTCTGGTAGAAATGTATGAAGTTTGCCCAATTATTGTAAAAATACTGTATACGAACTGGGCAAGAACCCGGGAAAAAAAGTTAAAAGCCAGATATAAATTTTGTCAAGATCTGACCAGATATAATCAGATATAATTCAGATATGATTCAGATCTGTCTATATATAATCATACATAATTGTATATATGATTATGTGTGATTATATATGGACAGATCTGAATCATATCTGAATTATATCTGATTATATCTGATCAAATCTTAACAAAATCTATATCTGGCTTTTATCTGAACTTTTTTTTCCTGGGAACTTGACAGAGTTTTACTCGTTTGAAGCAGTTTATTCTATAATATGAGGACCAGTTCTTTTTAAGATATAGTATCAGCAGTATTATTGTAATCTAGTTTTTGTAATGTAGACGTATTACAATGTCTGGAAAATATGAAAAATTTTAAACATATTTGTTTATATTGTTAAAAATGAGTTTAAAATTAGATGAATAATGAGTGACTATTTAGAAAAGTATAGAGTAAGAAAAAAGAAATTGGAGGAAATAAGACGTTTGACAAAATTAAGTATCCTATGACAGAAATAACAAACAAGGTTAGAAACGAAAGTGAGCAAAAGATAAAGTGACCAGACGTCCCGATTTTTCACCCTTTGTCCCGAATTTTTTCTATTCGGGACACCGATTTATCATCATTTTCAATGATTGTCAAATAATTTTCGGATTTTTTACCGCCCTTCTCCCGTCCCTCACTTCCCGTCCTTCACACATTTATGAAGTGTCCCGAATTCAAGGCTGGGAAATCTGATCATCTTACAAAAGACAAATGAGGTATATGTTAATAAAACAGAATTTCATTGAAACATTTTAGATTGTTCTAATGATGATGATATACATGGAACCTGTTATGATAGCTTAGATGCAGAATAATGAAATAATACAACTCCAAGAATTAATAAAAAGACATATGTCGTTTGATAATCGTGAAAAATGTCATGTAAAAGATGAAAAACATGAAAATATATATGATGCAAAAAGATTTCTCCTGCATTATGACTTTTGTTAGCATTAAAAATTTTCAATTAGAAAGCATGCATAAAATACATAAAATAATAAAGTAAAATACTGCTAAAGCAAATATGTTCATTTTATGAGCAGTAGGCTTGATTATTAATCAGTGGAATAGTTTTTGCCCATTTTCTGTTACATTTTGGTTCAGTAAATGAGTTTAGATTTTGTGTATCTCTTGTACAGTAATTGCAGGAAAATCGTTAAGTCTTAATTGAGATTCTAAGTAGTTTTACTCTTTAGCCACTAGACAAAAGTGAACACAGCAACACTTAGCCCGGTAATTGCTCGAAAATTGCATTAAATTTCTATCAAGTTTCGTGAATTTCTAATTATCCGTCAATCTGTATTAGGTTTGTCTGTATTATAAATCTCGCTACTTTATTGTTAAAGAAATACTCGTAATATGAACAAGCTAGTACAGCAATATAAATTCTGCTAAAAACTCGACATATCTGTGTAGAAATGCTTGTTTATTGCAAGTCGAGTAAATTTATTTCTACAGTTACGGCTAGGATATTTCAAACCCTCGAGCAGTTTCGACAGATGTCGCAACATCATTCCCTTGTTATATATTTTATCATATGGCCTTAAGGTCACTTTCGAGCTTCGGTAGTATTCAGCCTCGGATTCGTAATTCATGCCATACATAGCTTTCTTCGAAGCTTCCATCATAGAATAAAGAATACCAGGAAGGAGCATAAAGAGAAAATTCTTTGTTAGAAGTGCGAAGGATGTGACGTAGTGAAAGTGAACTAAATGCGACTATCGATACTGTGGAATCGAAGTAAATGTTATGACGTAATATTGTTTAATTTAATCGAATAGACAAAGGTGCGTAAACGTATTGAAGAGAAAATAATTACAAGTGACTAATTTTATTTCTCTCACCAACATTAGCAAAATATAAATACAATTTTTCGATTATTCTTTTAAAATAAATATTCATTTGCTATATACTTCCAAGATGTTTAAAGTATACTGCCAGACCCCCAGAAATATCATACTAAGAATCATTGATAATTACTTATTTTCAGTATTAAAAATACTGGATAATAAGTAATTATCAATGATTCTTAGTATGATATTTCTATAAGGGACTGTGTTTCCGCTAATATCACTTATGACGTAATTCACGTCATCAAACTGAACCAATGCAACACAATCGATTATCCACGATATATCACAACATGCTCCTTCCTGATATTCTTTATTCAATGGCTCCCTTGAGATGGACAGCGCTCTGTTAACCGTGTTTCTCGAAATGCGACGGGCTAGCAACTCTCGACACGTACGAGCCGAGGGTGCAACGGAAAAAGAAAATGATCGATGCCCGGCTTAAGCCAAGAGTTACATCGAAAGCCTTTCTCTCCCCGACATTTTCTTTGGATTAGTTTCCACGGAGGTTAACGCCTGCCTCGTTACTTTAAGCAATCGTAGCAGAGCTGCGGAGTGTCTCCGAGAGCTAAATCTTCCAACGTTGTCAACGTTACGAATACCGTTCAAAGCTAATCCGGGAAAGAGCCCGTCAAGGCTAATGAGTTCTCCATTTCTGCTCTCGTCATGTATTTGATTCTTTCTTCCACAATAACGCATAGTCGTTAAATATGAATTAATAGCAGTCTTTTAAAGAACTTCCTCAGAAATACAGTCCACTGTACTCCCGATATGTAATCCTTCACAAATAACTTCCACACTGAGAGAAAAATGTATGATATTTGGAACTATAATGGCATAGTAAAAAGATTATAGTTAGGAATATCTTTTTTATAGTAAATGTCACCATAATGTTTATAATATTTACAATATAAGCATAGTATCCTTATAGAAATATCATACTAAGAATCATTGATAATTACTTATTTTCAGTATTAAAAACACTGGATAATAAGTAATTATCAATGATTCTTAGTATGATATTTCTATAAGGGTATAACTGACTCATGTAAAACTTTTACCAAGAATTATAATTATTTGAAATAAAAAACATAGTAAGGTAGCAAATATTAAATGGTAAGAGAAATTAACTATTTTATATAGTCAATACAATTGGAATATTTGGAAAATATGGGTACATGTAACTGTATTCCCAAAGCGTGCTTTACTGTACACATAGAGTAATAAGATGGTGACTATAAATGTGTGTTCATTCTGCTATATCTTCGTGTTTAAATGAACTATAAATATATGTTTGAGGCCAAAACGAACTATAAAATATAGTAAGATTATAGTTATTCCAACTATTTTTTTCTCTCAGTGCAGGGTGATGAAACGTCGATAGAAAGACCACTTGAAAGTTTGTCGCTTTCGTTTGCTTATTTTTACATTCAGCTATCTTTAATACAACTTTCGTAAACATCAACGCTGTAACAATGACGCGCGAGCTTTATTGCAAGGTGTAAAAATACTGAGTCTTAGGTCGATAAAGTCTAACATCAATTTATACTGCGCATCATGGTAAAGAAGGATACTGCGGATGACACCATCTAAAACATGATATCTTATCGTTTATAACGTGTCCATTATTTGATGACTGATTCCCGTGTGTAAGAAGATACACATACCGATGCAAAAGTTTCCAATGATAACGGTATGAAGTAAGCAGATAACTGCGCCGGTTTCTGAGATCTTATCGTAATAATATTTAGAGATCTCTTTAGTCGGTACGGGAAATGATACCACGATGTAAAGTATGACGCTTTCGCTATAGCCTCGCTCTGAAAAATAAACATTCATGCATACACATTATGAACGAACGTATAGTAGTCAAATGTAGACGTGACTTCATTAATGCCCGAACATACATTTACTAGAAAACGTATGTATTCAAAAATATTTGATAATATAGAATTATTATTATTAGGTATTTTTATTTTGAATAATATTAAGCGTTTGCGACAATTTTAGAAAAATTTGATATATAGCATAAAAATATGAATATATAGCATGCTAATTTCAAACATAAAATAAGGCGTCTCATATTTTTCTGAAATTGTTGCAAACGCTTAATATTATCCATATTTTAGGTTATTATTATTTTAGGTATTTTTTACTTAGCCATGTCTCTTTCTATGAGTTGTTGAGTATCCGAAGAATCAGGAATAATGTTCGAAAGCAGTCATGAAAGTTTGATAATTTGAGTTCGTTTATAAGAAATTTTTTGTCCACTCATGTATTACAAATAATCAATCGAAAAGCGATATAGTGAAAGTATATTTAGGATATTTGGGGGTCAATTGTGTACTGACAGAACTTGGTGAAAATGACAAAAGTGAATGAATTTACTAGAAGATTTACAATTTCAGTGATCAATACTTAGTGAATCTGTTTATTTTTGCAATTTTCATCACGTCGTGTTAATATATACATTAATCTCCTGAATATTGGCATAGGGTAGGTATAGCGGGGTAAATTGAATAGCGGGAGAATTTGGATAATATTAAGCGTTTGCAACAATTTCAGAAAAATATGAGACGCCTTGTTTTATGTTTGAAATTAGCATGCTATATATTCATATTTTTATGCTATATATCAAATTTTTCTAAAATTGTCGCAAACGCTTAATATTATTCAAATTCCCCCGCTATTCAATTTACCCCGCTGTACCCTATAAATAGTAGATAGATCTTCCAAGAATCGTTATATAAACGAGAAGAATAGTGGGATTGGAAGAGTATATCATTCTCCTGCTTAATTACACATAACATATGAGCGGACGAAAAACATTAACTTACATGAACTAAACTTCAAATTGTCAAGCTATCGCAGCTGCTTTCGTTTCCGATTCCTTGGATACTCTACAGTTACGATGAATGCATTTGTAGAAAGAAACACAGCTAGTCCAAAATATGTAGTAATTCTAAATCTAGTAAATGTGTGTGTGTTTTGAGTATTAATAAAGCTGCGTGTATAGTCGAGAGCAAACCAATTTGAACTTTTCCTAGTGAAGTTAGTAACTCATCTATACTCAAAAAAATACATATTGTATATTCAAATAAACGTTACTTGTTTTAAGTATTTCATAGGTTTATATATCTGCAAATATATTATAATCTGTAGCTCATCACAAACATCAAACTTGTTCCAAATACATTCTAAATCCTAGTAAGTTTAGCAGTCAAGAACATTAAATTAAAACAAAAAAATTCAGTTTACTTATTGCATAGAGACGGATCAACTGTTCAATAAAATTTTGTTTATTATTCTTGTAAAAAGAATAAATTCTTCTTTTGAATTCATTACAATAAGCTTTCACGCAATCAGAAGTAAGCAGAAGAAGAATAAGAATGTTAAGAAAAATAAGTTAATATATAAAATTAATATTAAAAGAAGTTAATATATAAAATTATAATAAATTTATATACACACAAAGAGTCTCCCCAAACTATTCGCTATCACATATGAGTGGATGATCTTCTAATAAAAACACGTATGTACGAAACATTAAGCTGTCAAAATGTCACTTCTGTTTTGAACATCCCGCTTACTGAATGTATCAACAGTCATGGAAAACAATCAGCTAGAAACGCACGACTGATCGAAACTTTCTGTACATACATGAAGAAAATATTGTAGTAAAAATAACAATAAAATTTGTTGGAAAATTTGCCAATTTGAAATATTTGACATTTACTACAAAATTATTATAATTACTTAAATTACTTATAAATTACTGTACAAAAAAATAATTCTGGTTGTTTTATTTCCTGTAATGTCTTATTCTAAACAAAATCTTTCATTTTTTTTAATGAAGTGGACTATTAATCGAAAATCAATTAGATGTTATTTTAATTTTTTTTTAGTTTAAAATGTGTTGAATATGTTTAATATGTTCACTTATAGAATATCCTCTTACACACGATACGCGACAAACGAAGCATATACTGTAAATAAAAAACGAAAGTCTTCTAACTTTAAGAATATTGTGTGCTTAGAATGTTTTCCTTTTCGATTTGGAAAGATTCTCTTGAAGCTACAACGTAAGAGGATTTCTCTAAGAATGAGATTATATTTCTTTCTGGATAAACGCATTTTCTTTTCTCATAATACACGGAATAATTATAAATTATTAAATTTAATGTTTTTCTTAATCAGAGAAGAAATCACCGAGAAACATCTTATTGTTATTTTTTTAAATATTATTTGATTAAATAAAGTCGAGAAAGTTATAATACTACGCTTAATGTAATTTTTACTACAATATTTTCTTCTATAATATGATATAGATATAATTAATATAACTATATAGTGTGTAGATATAACAATACAAAGAGAAAGATTGTTCACTTTAAAAGTTTCAAAGATTTTTCCAAAGTTTTGCAAGCTTTTTTAAAACTTTAAATAATCTGAAACTAAAAAGTCCAAGTGCTTTTTAATTGTTTTATTCATGTTTTTAGCTAGAATTGCTAAAAACTGCATTCAAAGAAAGCTTACGTACCTCGGTGCGCAGAACGTCTGCGGGCCAGTTACACAAAAACAGTTGGATTACTGCGATTGCCACTTGTGATATATACTTAAATTTATCCGGATCATCCTACAATCGTTATACAAATAATAACATATTTGTAGGATTTACTTGGAATATAAATAAATTTAGTTTCCATGTTTTCTCATAATAGCTACAATTAATTAAGTGATAATAAATGACACATTGACAATTCTTGATTTTCCTTACCCCCGCTAATTTAAATCCTACAAGGGAAATGTTGTACGTACTGGGGATCAATTGCATTAGGAAGATACCACCAGTTAGCTTTCCGACTTCTCTGTGAAATCTATTTGCACAATGTTATTTGTTCGTTAAAAAAGTCAATCAAATAAAATGTGCGAGACAGGAGACTTGTTGCATCGTTTAAAAAGTTTTCAAAATCTTAATCAAAATTCAAAATACTTCGTAACATTTTAATTATTAATATTCTGTTATGAAATATGTGATATAAGTCTACATTACATATTAATGAAAATATTGTATAAATAAGAAAATGAAAAACGAAATAATAGAACAGCAACTGTTTCTGTGAAACTTCTTTTTCTTCATAGAAAGCTTGATAATCTCTTATAAAAATTTATGAATGACAAACAAAAATATATTCTTAACATGCAATAAATTCTTTAGATGATATCATAGCCGATTTATATTTTCCCAAAAATTGCAGCTACAATAGCCTGCCGAAATTTACCTTACAGAATAATATTTTTTCTTAAACACATTTATTTTAATAACTTTGATTTGAGAAATTATTTCTAAAGTCGATTATGATAACATCTAAATAATTTATTGATTAATAATATATCTTCTCTTTTTTCCCAAAAAAGATTAAATTGTCAACAAAGTTATGATAGTTCAAAGTACCCCGGAAACAGCATGTTTCAACAAATAGGAGAAACCGGAGCTAAATGGTCTATATTTTAAAATTTCGAAGTTACATTTTCTAAGGCAACTAACTGTTGTAACTTGTTGTATGTATTGTATATATATGATAGAAGCAATCTTCTTCTTTGTATTAATATCTATTACAACCCGGTTAATCATATATTTTGTTTTGTAATAATCAAAATACGAACATATAGCAATAGTCATTTTGTCTTGGTACTAGGTTCAGTAGCGCAGGATAAAGAAGACCATATACATCCTGATTATTCCCAGAGTCTCTGCGAAAGGTCTCTTCACAGTCCTCTTGCCTAGAGACCCTATAGTAAAAATCTGGACAGTCTTGTCTTGTATTTTATTGGTGTCGACAAAATATGGCGGAACCAATAAGGTGTTCGGAAATTATACTGGATGTGCGGTATTATTCAACTAGTAAGAATAGAAGAATTGATTAAAATAAGGAAACAAATTTGATGTTAACAGTTTTATTTACATAAAAATGCAATACAAAATAATATAATGTCATTTAATAGTAGAATGCATCGCCATAGTTTTACTACTGAAAATTTTATTTTTTAATCGCCCTTTCTTGCAATTAAGTTTTATGCGAAATTGAAATCTCATCGAAAAACCTTTCTCCGTACTACTAAAAAAATTAGGTACGCAGCAGCCAGGCATTTTCTATAAAATTGTATGCAACTTGTAAATATAAAATACAGTATTAAAGGTTAGGAATTGATTTTTATAACAGCATGCATTTATAATACTTTTTTTCTATATATTTTACTTCATTACAATATTATATTATAAATTACCTGTTTTACTTGTTTGATATTTTATTATTTAATATAAGATTCACAAGATTTTTTTTCTTTGAATCACATCTATCTATGTCATATCATCACTGTTTTTGTTTTACGACGCCATGTTTTGTCGAACTAGAAAGACTGTCCAGACTCTTACTATAGGGTCTCTACTCCTGCCAGCCCTTAACCAGTTAGCTGTGTTGCCCTCTTTTAAAAGTGTGTACCTAAATTGTGTTGCATGACAAATATATTCGTCATACACAGCTAACTGATTAATTATGGGCCAACTTTACCTCATCCGCCCATATGCTCTATTTCGATCATTTTATGAATAAAAATTGTATTTATTACCAAAAATAGTATATCATATACTTTCAAGAAATTTCATTCTAGCTAATAACACACCTCTTAATTTGATTCAGTCACGAATATTAATACAAAGAGACACAAGAGAAAAAATTTACTATTACTAATAGTTTTTGTCTATTTCTTTACTGTAATATTATTCCGGTTTTAATAAAATTCAGAGAATATATGTTCTAATAACCATTTCGCCATTTTGTATCCACTATTCCTTTTAACCCCTTGAATGCGGAGACCTACTTTGAGCCCTAAGTGGGCCCAAAGTACGCAGCATTAAATAATAAGTGAAATGTAACAAACATACACATAAAAGGTTTTCGAGGTCGCTGAATAAGAATCTGTTGTTAAAATTGATAAATTCAAAATGACGGATCTAGTATGGTAGACCGCATGATGGAAACTTTTCCAAAATTGTAACGTAGTAGCTAAATTTGAACAACAAATGCGTGCTCAGCAAGCAAAAATACATAAAAATAACTATTCGTACTTATGTAATTGAACAAAATTTGTAAATTGTTGTCTAATATAATGATGCAAATATACATAATTTGTTTCAATCAAATATATAAATAAAATATAATTGATAATTTTTTTCTTTCTTTACAACATAAATATGATAAATAATACTAATTTACTGATATATGTAGGCATTTATATTAAACAAATTTTAAAAATTTCATGACACCTACACAGAGAAAACGATTTATTGAATCAAATAAATATTTCTTTGGAATAGTCCAAACAAATTATTTGGTTGACACAACAAAAATATTTCTTTGGAACTAAGCCGCAAATAAATATTTTTGTTGCGTCAAACAAAATTTTGGTCGATCAATCAAAAAATTCGTTTGGACTATTCTAAAAAAGTGTTTATTTGATTCAACCAAATCGTTCTCTCTATACATGTCATACGCACTGCGGGCCCATCTCGCTCATCACGTATATGTGTCATACGCACTCAAGGGGTTAAGATAAATACCAAGAGAAGTACATAAACAACATACCCCTGAGGTCATTTAGCCCCGGTTTCCCCTATTGGATTGTATACGGAAGCCTGAAATTGTCTTTCGTGGTCCATACACACTTACTCAAACATAGTTTGATGATAACGTACGCAAGCTTCAAGATCAATCACCGTGCGATTACTTCTCAACGCACCTTCTTCTTCATTCGTTACCTCGAGGAACCCCCTGCCAGCTTGACATGCCTTCTCCGTCCTTTGCAGTTTGCATACTGCGGGGTCGCTCTCGCACAGACGTTGAATTCGCGAATTTAGGACCTTGAAGTGGCCGCTCATAGTCAAGACGAGCACTGGACCGATGGTGTCCGCAGCGGCGCAGGTGAGGCCGACGTTCGTCATACTGCACAACTGCATGGCGTACATTATCTCGTAATAAGGTGTACGGTGAACCTCAAACGGACATGCGTAGGGCAAGGTCCTAATAACAGTGATGTTCGCCGAATCACTGTGTTGTCCTATAAACAGACTCGCCACAGCGTAGAAGAAGATCGTGAAGGCGCAGCCGAACAAATAGTAATAGGTGAGACGTCGCGTCGCCCTCACGCGATCGCGCACGCACCTCTGCTCGCTCGCGCTCAGCGTCAGCCAGAGCTCCTCGGACAGGTTTAGCAATCGGTGGAATCTGCTTCGGAACAATAAGAGAATCGTGAATCGCATCTGTCCACCCACGATGGACAGTATCATCGCGAACGACTCCATCCAGGTGTCGAGGTGGACGGTGTACAGGATGAACTCGAGAGTATACACGACCGAGTACGTCAATATGCAACTGTAAGCGACCACGCTCAGCACGTTTTGCAAATTTCGCAACCGCTGAACGTTCTTCGCGTCTCCTTCACAGGGCACCACACCAGAAAACCGCAGCAGGGCCATGTTCACGCGGATGACACTCGCGAACGACTTGTCCGACACCATTTTTACTTATCCCACGTTGAATCGAAGACTGACAAACGATCGAAATGGATTGATAGATTGATTGTACAGAGGTATGAAAATTATTAGAATAATTTTGACTTTTTTTATTCATTTTCTCTAATTGTTCCTTTCAATAAGTACCCAATTTCAGGAAATATGTTCAATTTGTTATCAATATTCCTTATATGTTTAAAATGATTATAGGTTTGTATTACATATTATACGACTAAATTATAAATAATGACGGATATATCTCTTATATGTTATATCACATTCTATTATAAGATATATTTTGCGCGTAAAAGTAAATTTTTATATAGGAAATAGTGGGTTATATATTACTTGTACACTAAGAACAGTATGAAAATTTAACAAGTTTGAAAATTTATTTTGTAAAGTTTATTTCTATAAAATAATCCGTAGTTATTTACATAATTTAGTCGTACAATATGTAATACAAACTTGTAATCATTTCAAACCTAGTAAGGAATATTGATAACAAATTGTAGTATTTTCTAAAATTAGGCGTTTATTGAAAAGAACAATTAGAGAAAATTGATAAAGAAAACAAAATTACTCCAATTAAAATACTTCAATTGAAATTGAATATAAAATTTTATCCCACGTTGAATCGAAGACTGACAAACGATCAAAATGGATTGATAGATTGATTGTATAGAGGTGTGAAAATTATTAGAATAATTTTGACTTTTCTTATTCATTTTCTCTAATTGTTCCTTTCAATAAGTACCCAATTTCAGGAAATATGTTCAATATTCCTTATATGTTTAAAATGATTATAGGTTTGTATTACATATTGTACGACTAAATTATAAATAATGACGGATATATCTCTCATACGTTATATCACATTCTATTATAAGATATATTTTGCATGTAAAAGTAAATTTTTATATAGGAAATAGTGGGTTATATATTACTTGTACACTAAGAAAAGTATGAAAATTTAACAAGTTTGAAAATTTATTTTGTAAAGTTTATTTCTATGAAATAATCCGTAGTTATTTACATAATTTAGTCGTACAATATGTAATACAAACTTGTAATCATTTCAAACCTAGTAAGGAATATTGATAACAAATTGTAGTATTTTCTGAAATTAGGCGTTTATTGAAAAGAACAATTAGAAAAAATTGATAAAGAAAACAATATTAAAATACTTTAATTAAAATTGAATATAAAATTTTATCCCACGTTGAATCGAAGACTGACAAACGATCGAAATAGATTGATAGATTAATAGATGTGTCGTTCCTTGAGCGCGTCAAGATGATCAGATCAGTCACGATGGAACGTCGTGTTTCTTTAATCCTGGGGATTACGGACGCTCGCGGGATCGTCGGTGGCTTGTCGGCGCGGGAAGCCTATAAGATTTGCACCTGCGCGATTCGCACTTACTTTCGTGCGAGTCTCTACGCGACGGGTACTTCGATGAATGTTTTAAACTCGCTAAAAGATTTCGCGTGCTTGGCGTCGTTTCCCTTATTCACGTACCGCACGATATCGATCTATGCTCGCTATTATGAATGCGAAACTACACGTGGGACATCAAGAGCTAGATAGTAGCGCGCATCCTGTAATTATTTCCGAAATAAACTTCCCTGACGGAAAAGATCTCCGGTAATGCAGTGAATTTCGACAAGTTCACCTTGGCACGCTGCTAAAAACTCTTCCCAGCGCGGAAAGCTACCCAGCTGACGAATGAATAATTGGTCACGGATCTCTAATTCCTCCCCAAGTTGCGATACCGTGACGAAGCAGCACGCAATTGCACTAGGATAGAGGGAAGGATAAAGGGTTAAACACAGGTCTTCCATGGTGAGTATGGAAATAGAAAAAAGATTGTCGTGGATACGATGGAAGCTCTGAAAGGTTATTGCACTTAATTTGTGTCTCAAGAATTCTCTTGTTTTCACGATATTCTTATTCTATTATTATCGGCACACTACCGATTAATATCAGTCATTTAGGATCGATTTTTTTCATTGATAATTTAAACTTAGATTTCCACTTAAACTCTGTTTAAACAAAACAAACGTATTGTTATAATAGAACTTGAATCCAAGTTTAAACTGCTACTGAAAAATCGCCTCTAAGAGTTAACTTTTTCAATAGTAGTTTAACTCTTTTGTACTTCGGTCTTTCTCAGAAAATATGTTTCACATTGAAACAATTATAAAAGTTTTTGGGAATGCTAATTCTAAAATTACCTATCAAAATTTCAATTCAAAATGACACCTGTGAAAAGCTTAAATATTAATAGAGGAGACCGGGGCTATATGGCCTCAGGCGTATGTTGCTCATGTACATTTTTTTAGTACTTATCTTGAAAAAGATAATGGGTACAAAATTGCAAAAAGATCTTTTAGAATATAAATACTTTTCTCTGAATTTCATTAAAATTGAGGTAATACAGTTATAAGAAATAGGAAAAACTGATTTGATAATAGAAAAGCAAATTTTCAAGCTTCTCGAAATTTTCTATTAATATTTTCCATCGTGACTGAATAAAATTAAGCGATATGTTACTAGCTAGAATGAAATTTCTTGTAAGTATGATTACTGTTTCTAGTAATAAATGCAATTTTGAGTTATTAAATGATTGAAATAGAGCATATTGGCGGACAAGGTAAAGTTGACTTATAATTAAGCAGGAGAGCTGTTACGATCTCTTACGGAAACTCTGGAACTTCTAATCAGAATATATATTTTATATGTGGCTTCACCCTGCACTACTGAACCTGGTAGGCAAGGCAAGATAGCTATGTTGCTGTATGTTCATATTTTGATTATTATAAAATACAATATACGGTTAACAAGATCGTAGTGGACATTAATACATACAAAAAAGTTGCCTTTATCATGTTTATATAGCCAGTTACAACAATTAATTGCCTGAAAAGTTGTAGCTTTGAAATTTTTAAATATAGGACATCTAGCCCCGGTCTCTCCTATACTTAAAATATGAACTTGAAGTTTTTTCTGATCACTAATTACAAATAGAATGTACAAATTTAAATTTAAAATAACAGTCTCTTAGCGTCTACAAGGAATTTCACACACACGTATTTTTACGTAAAAATCTACTATTGATGTTATTGATGGTTGCCAATATAATTATACTATTATATAATTTTTATAGATATAACAGTGTCCATTTACCAACAAAACGCGATTCTCTCTTTTATAAATTCACTGAACGAAACAGAGAAACGTCTGAAGAGATGTTGCCAATAAATTAGCTAAAAGTTGAATTTTTTGAAAAGCTTAAATAACTAAATTTTATCAAATACATTGAATTTACAAGTATACTTATTTTTTATATATACACTTAATTTTTCTTTTTAAAACATATCAAAGTAGATATATGTGTTAAAGTTATGTTCTTTTTTGTAAGTGGGACATATGTATATGTGTCTCTCAGATGCAAAAGGATTGAGCTAAGATTTAAGTTTATACTCTTTTTAAATACATCAAATATCACATTATTGAAATAGAGTTTAAGGAAGTACTCTACTTTGTTGGATCAGAAAAATATCTTTAAATCTTTCTTAGCTTAATTACCTTTACAAAAGATATGGCCATTCTTTCGGAGTCCTTTTTAACTTTTTAAAAAAAGTTGTTTTGCAGTGACCACTGCTACTCGTATCTGAAATAAAAAATTCAAAACGATTTATTTAATATATTAAACTATCTAGTTCTTGAATGAACATTTCTTCGAAATATTGATTTGGGACAAAATGACGGACGTTTAAAGTTAGATTTGATTTTCGATAAAAAAATTGCTCGTTTTCCATCAATAAAAAAAACTATGCATCGAAAATTCTTTGTTCAAGGACTACTTTTTATATCTAAAATAAGCTTGCAAAATTTGATATAAATCGATGCAGTAGTTTTCGAGATATCTTGGTCACCGATTTTGAAAATGTGATTTTGAGAAAAATGCGTTTAAAGTTTCAAGGTATACGCCTAAATAAAATGTTCATTTTTAACTTGCATAAACCTAGATAATACGATGTCCAAAATTGGGATGTAAGATGTCTTTAAGACGTCTTTAAGACGACTTAAAGACACCTTATATCTCGACGTCTTAAAAATATTTTATGTCCCAGTTTTAGACATGTATGCTGTCTGGGAAGTCATCTATTCCAGACTCATATAGTAAGTTTTCTGAAGAAGTTGTAGTCCCCAAAACATCAATTTAGTGCTGCCGACAAAGCATTCTTCCTTCCCGGGTAGTCTGATACGCTCAGCGGTCGACCGTCTTAATGCAGACTGCATCTTCTGTCGCCAATATATAAATGGATCTTTGGGCTATTGTATATCCTCATGGTCTCGAACATTTGTAATAATGCTCAGGAATCATCGTTAAACACGCAGGTAGAAATGTGCGCAGTAAGTTCAACGATATGCAATCCATTTGGTATACTTTTTGGACTGATTTTCCATATCAGTTGATTATAATTGGTCTCATTGCTATTTTGATTAAAACAGTCATCTTTCTAATAATTCTACTTTAAGATCCTCGTATATTGGTCTAATAGTATTCAAAATATATTGGTTTAATAATATTCAAAATATTTTCAGATAAAGCATTGTAATCGTATTTATGAGAGACAAGTTCGCCGCTTGCAAAAGCGTGCTATTTTCTTTTTCATACTCTTGATTTCTGAACATTTTTCGTCTCTCGTAACTCTCTGGAATCTTTTTGTCGATTCATAGTAAATTCGAAATCAAAGAATTATTGCAATAATTAATAATCATTATATGTATAATAAGTAATATATTAAATATTATATATTATATTAGAAACGAACGTTCTATCGCACAGCTCGATGTCAACTGCTATAATATATATGTAACGGTATTTGGACTTCGTTCACCCTAAACCCGAAAACTCTTTGTATTTACCACTACAAATGCACAGGGAACCTTTCCTAATACAAGTATATCTTAACAGTATATAATATATGACCCAT